CCAAAAAAAGAAACAAAAAAAAAAAAAAAAAAAAAAAGAATAAATGCTTGATACGACTTTGAAATATGGAAAAATGACCATTTTTTGTTAGTCCTTCCCCCACTTTATTTCAGCCATCCTTTCTTGAGTGCTTACTGTGTGCCAGGCCCTGGGATACAGAGGTGATTAAGTCAGGGACTCTGCACAGCAGCGGGTATAGACCAGTTCAAAGCAATATGAGGAGACATTTGGGGAGCTTTTACCTTACATCTGTTGTCCTGCACTTGTGTTTGGGAAGTCTGATGTGTCCTTAGAAAGTGGCATGAATTGGCCAGCAGGTACTCCAGAGACAGTGCCAGACAGTTCTTGAACTTCAGTTGTCTTAAGAATCAGTCATCACAGAAGCTGGTTAAACTTGCAACTTAATGGGCCACATCTCAGAAATTATGCCTGGTAGTCTGCATTTTAAATAAATAGCCCATTTTATGCTCATACAAATGAGAACTTCCCTGGATTTTATGCTGGCAGTTCCGTGAGCTGCTCTCAGTGGCATTTGAGACCTAGTGGGGTTTAATAGGTAAGTACTCAGACCTTCTCTTTTGGCACAACCAATTGAACCCAAGAAGAAAATCTTTTTTTGACTTTAATCAGTTGTCTAGTGTTTCATAATTAATGAGATTTTAATATTTTCTTAAAATTTACTTTAAAACTTAAGAGGGACCACACTTTAGAGCAAGATGTAAAGAAATCTGGACGTGTAACTCCAGTTGCTGTCTAACTCAATTGACATCTCTGTCTCTGCAGAAGTGAGCTGCGGTGTTTCCTTTCATTTGGGATTTCCCTCCTGCTGCTTTTTCACTGAGGGAGTTTGAAGCCTGTTTATTCATAGCTCTCCAGGCTGAGGCTTGGTGGCATTACCGGGAAGTGAGCCTTTCTCAGCAGCTGAGCCTTTAATCCTTCCAGCTGCTGTGCTTGAGGCTCAGCTCCCTCGCTGTCCTTCAGGAAAAAAACAAGATAAGGTGTGAGTGTGATATGTGTGTGTGTGTGTGGTAGATGTTCAAAGGGAGCCCTTTGGAAGCAGTTACCAGGGTCATGGTGTCTATCGATGGAGGGCCGAAACTGAAGCCTGGGGCAAATGAGGTTGGTACTGGGAGCCACTTGGAGATCCGAGAAGTTCATTTGTGAAAGGGAGAGTTTAGGGACTCTACTGGTAGCTCTGTGCAGAAGTAACTGGAGTGGGATGGGACTTAGAAGACGAGGCAATAGGTTAGATATGAATGATCATCTTCATTCAAGTAGCACATGAAATCTCACCTCTTATCTGAAGCTTTCTTTGATTTGGAATATCGGTGTTGGGTCTTCTGGCTCCATGTAAAATGTGTCACTTTCTTGATTGTCCCTCCTTCCCCTTCTCACAGCATGTGTTTTAGGAGCTCCCTGTATTATCTTGAAAGTTGGTAAATATGTATCTAACTTACAAAATGACAGCAGCTTGTTCCAGAACACCAGCACAGAAAGAGAGGAAGAGCTAGGCAACCAGATCCTCCTTCTAGGTTGTGCTGATTCACCTAGCCTCGTGAAATGGCGCGAGGAGACTAGTTTACCTGTTTTGTATATTCAGCAGGCTCTGTGCCGTGCCGTGCCCTGTGTTAGGTTTTGGCATGGAAAGATGAGTAGGACAACATGCTTTCTGTCTCTTTCCCTCCCCAGACACTGGAGAGGTAGCTGATTTTAGGATTCCTGCTCTTCTCTGTCTCCTGGGTGGTGTCTTAGGGTGAAAGTTTTTATCAGATTATTTGATGAGCTTATTAGAAAGACAGGTTCCATCTTGTGAATCCTCGAACTGGTCAGCCATCAAACAAACAAGCAAGTGAAAAAACAAACAAAAAGAAAGATTCCAGTGTCATATGGCTTTAGTTTTGACCTTGAGGCCATGCCCTTCCAGTTTCGGTTGAGGGTGAGGTGGAGAGGGGGATGTTTGAAATGAGATCAGTGAGAAAATAAGTAGAGTATCAGGCACAGTGGGATATGTCTATAGACACAGGGAGAATAATAGAAAGTTGGAAAAAAATAAGCATGTAATTGATAGTTGGGGGCCTGTGTGCTCTGACTGGAGCCTGAGAGGGAGGGCTCTGCAGTGACGGTTGGTGTCGTGGTTAGAACTTTAGCACTGAAGGCAAATTACTGAGTTTGAATCTGGCCCCACCATTAATTACCCATGACCTTGGGCCAGTCACCCAAATCTTCTGTGTGTCAGTTACCTCATTTGTAAAATGGGAGACAATGCCTAACCTAAACAAGATCCTACCTATGAAACATGTAGAACAGTATCTGGAATATAGTAAGTACTCAATAAATTTTAGTTTCCATGACCACATTACCTTCTGTACGCTGCCTGGTGTTTCATGGACTCATAGAGGCTCTATTTTCTGAGTCTGGCCCCTTGGGGAAGGACCTTCTGAGTCTGGCCCCTTGGGGAAGGACCTGGCTTTTGTGCCTGTGGCTCTGGTGCAGGCTGTATGTTTGGTGTCCACCCACCCAGATTAGCTGAAGGACTTGCTCTATGGTTTTGCAGCCTTCTCTCCAGGGCAGGTTCTGGTGCAGACAGGTTGCATGTGTTAGTGACTCTGCTACCATTTCTCTCCTTGCCAGGGATGGTACCTTGAGTGAATGACACCCTTGGAGAACACTCTTCTGCGCCCTTGCCGCAAGCCAGCCCAGCCAAGAAACTGAAGACTCAGCAGATCCAGGGCCTCACTGCACCCCTTCTGCACAGGAGCACTGCTGTCTTCCCCGAGGCTTCCAGCTCTGTGGAAGGAGACACCCAGTTCTACCTCATGTTTGGGGGATCTTGCTAGCTATGGCCATCATACCTGGCTTACTGCTGCAGCTTGGGCTGTGCTGGAAAACCATTTCAGCAGGGCAGTCTTCACCCACAGATGCTTCTGGGGATTTGAATTATGAGTTGCCTACATCGAATTATGAGACCCAAGACAACATTACATCTGAACCCACCGACATTCTCTTTCAAATGGTGCGGCTCTTTCTCAAAGTGGTGCAGCCGCATGCTTTCCCTGAAGGTAAGTGCTGATTGCAGGGAAAGACGGGCTTTGTCTTCAGACACATCCACAATACTGTTTTTTAATGACAATACATTTGGTATGTATTGTATTCAATATTCTAAAGTATGAGGTTCAAAGAGATTCATTTGCACAGTAGCAGAAAGTGTTTAGACCAATATTAAGAAGACTTTGTACTTGGTGAAAAAGGTTGGCAGGAATATGATAAGAAAAGGTACCAAACTATGTTGATACGTTGGTTTTCCAATTCTTTACCTTTTTTGGGGTTCTCTTTTGTTTTGGTTAAAGCAATGAATTATTCTAAAGCACACACCAATGGTAAAAATTAGGGGAAAGTTAGGGTAAAAATGCAAAACTCTGTCATCAGATGAGAAGTTAATAATTAACTGGCATCTGATGGCCACGCTACCTCTTAAAAATTTAACTCTCTGCTGCAAAATGCAATTTTGACATTGCTTAGGGCAAGGACAGGCCTGTTCAAACCTGTTTACCAGATTAACTGTTTGCTAAAGTTCTAAGATATTGGGTGTGAGGAAAGGCAGAATGGCCTCTTTCCGGAATTTTCACTGCGTGGTGCTTTTTTTCTGTATGCACAGCTGTTTATCATTTTAGCCTTCTCACCGTGTGAGCTCACAAGTTTTCAGGGGTATGTGTTTGTAGGAACAGGATTATGAAAGTGAAATAGTCTGTAAGAAGTATCTACTACTAGGGTTTGGCAACCTTAAATTTTGACTGGATTAATGTTAGAGCTGACCTAAGCTTGTTCTTTAAACTACAAAGATTTGAATACTATCATTGATTATAAAATTTATAGTAATATTTATTATTTCCCTTAGCTGGTCAGCTGCTGTTCATAATAGGCTTAATCGTGTTAATCGTGTGTGTGTGTGTGTGTGTGTGTGTGTGTGTGTGTGTGAGAGAGAGAGAGAGAGAGAGAGAGAGAGAGAGAGAGAGAGAGAGAGAGGGAGAGAAGAGAGAATGTATTTAGTGAACCTCATCACTTGTTTGGATTATGGGGAGTTTATAGATTTTCATTAAAATATATTTTGTTGAATTTTTTAATATTTGTCTTAGATTAACTAATTAAAACAATCTGAAGAGTAGCTGCCATTTTTTTTGTCAGTTTAAATTCAATTCAGTGAACTGGATTACTCCGAGCCCTTCTTGTGATTGAAGAGAGCCCTGAACGAATGCCCCTTACTGTTTTTCTCGCTGCTTCATGGATCAAATTTGGAAATCTAAGAGACAGAAGTAGGAAATAAGCTCAGTTTATTTATTAACATTGAATACAAATTCACTGTTCTGATAGATATCTCTTAGTTTATTTGTAGACTTAATATGTGTTGTTTAACAAATAAATACCTACCAGTGTTTTTAGTATTTGCTTCTTTTTTTTTTTTATGAAAGACATAGAGATCAGTTGTTTAACATGAATTTACAATGACTTCTTCAAAAACATTGGGAACCTCCCTATGTCTCATTCTAAGGCATACCGTGTAATTAGTTAATTCCATAATCTCTTTCCATATGTTGTTCTGTTTTGCTCACTGTAGACTTCATGGGAAGGCTTCTTCTTACTTATTTTATAAGGGAAAGCAATACTTTTTAAAGCCATCATTCAAATGATCAGGTTAGAAGACATCCTTTAGCTTTACATAAACCTTCTGATGTGTTCTAAGGTCTTTGAAGTCTGACAACATTATTAGTCTAGAAGTAGGCATCTGAACAATTTAAATCCTAATGTAATCTGAGGGTGTTAGCCTAGTTTGTCTCTTGACCTTCATCAGTACTTATTACCTTGGAGAAAGAAATTTCTAAAAATTTCAGCAGTAGATAAGAGCAGACCAGCATCACCCCTTTGGGAGGAAAAACTATTAGGTTGCTTAAAGAATATAATATTGAATTTAACAAATGACATCTTGGAGTGCTGGTTTTCTTCCACCATCCCATTTTTTTTTAATATTCTTTCACCCAGTTACTAGATTTCATAATAGTCTTAAAGTGTCCACTGGGTGCTTTGCAATGTAAAGGACATGTATGAGACAATCATAGTTTTCTCATTTAGGGCCATTTCACAGGTACCAAATCATAGGTAGATGTCCTCATATTAGAAGATGCGAAAAACAGAACAAAACCCCCCAAACAAACAAGCAAACAAATGAGAGAGATTGTTCCCATTTTTATTTATTAGTGTAATTAGCTTAGTATATTAACAAAACAGAAGCCTTCAGGACAAGTCCTCTATGGAGTAATGTCTTCACAGAAGATGTTATCTCATAGGTATAATCTCATTTGAAAGAGGAGAGATGCTTTGAATGCACAGTTCCAGTGCAGCTTGATGAGTGGAAGAGAAGGGATGGCTCTGCAGCCTGGGTTCCCTCTTTTCTTACCACTGGACTGGGGAGTTTTTCACTTTTATATCCTATGTCCAGCCAAAAAGGTTTACCAGATTTTGCATTTGAAACTCTGAGAGAAGCCCATGTTGTATCTTTAATCAAAACAAGATGGAAAGGCCTTGTTTATCTGGGACTTGAGACAAAGCCCTCCTTCCTGGGCAGAAGAGATTGGTTTAGATCAGACCAGGAACACAGGTAGCCATATGACCCAGCAGAGTATGTTCTAGAACCTGGTGTGGGTATTTCACAAATGTTAGTCCTGGCCTGAGGCTGCAAGAGTGATGTTGTACACTGGACTTAGGCTCTCTGAGAAGAGAGCTATGCCTTCCATTTAGAGGAGTTGTTTGTTCATTCATTCTAACCAGAAAGGGCGTGGACGGCAGGATGACCAGGGGGAGTTCAGGAGAGGCTGTTCTGGGAAGAGGGAAGAGCATGTCCAAAGTGAGGAGATGGGTGTGTCTTAGTGAACATTTTAGTGCTTTCGGGCTGCTGTAACAAAATACGACAGACTGGGTGGCTTAAGCAACAGACATTTATTTCTCCCAGTTCTGGAGGCTGGGAAATCTGAGGTCAAGGTGCTGGAATATTTGGTGTCTAAGGGCCCATATCCTGGTTTGTAGATGGCCACCTTCTGGCTGTATGCTCCCATGGGGGCCCACCTTTATTACCTAATCTAAATCTAATCACCCACAAAGACCCCACCTTCAAATGCCATCACCTTGGAGGTTAGGGCTTCAACCTATGAATTTGAGGGACACAAGATATACAGCCCATAACAATGGTGGGGGTAGATGGGTGCTCATGGAATAAGTTGGCCAGGGCTTAGGAGAGCCGAAGCTGGAGGCCCTTGACTGCCACTCCAGGGAGTTTTGTAGAGGGAAGGAAGGTAAGGCAGCATGCAAACAGAGGTTTCATTCATTAGAAGAGCATTTATTGGAAGTCTCTGCTCTCTGTGGTACACCTTGCTGGATGCTGTGAGCCAGGGTGTAATAAATGGAACTGGGTTTGGGGAAAAGGTCATGACCGCAGGGAAGTGGAGGCTCTAGCAGTGGTCCAGAGGGCAATATTCATGAACTTAGAATAATGTAAAAGGTAATGGGGGAAAACAGATTCAGTATCCATTTTATGTCCAAAGAACTTAATTTAAATCCTAGCTCATGCCTGTTACCTGCTGGGTGATCTTGGCCAACTTGTTTAACTTCCCAACTCTCTTTTCTCTTAGGTGCAATATGACTGTAATTATAACCCACTTGCTGTAGACTGGATGCCTTCCCCCAACCTCATTGAGGCTTAATCTCCACTGTGACTGTTGAGGGTGGGAAATTCTGTTACAGTAATTGAAAGGTGGGGCCTTGAAGAGGTGATTAGATTTGTAGCACCATGCCATAGAGAATGGGTTAATAATGGTCAGGGGCGTGGTTCTGAGGGCTTTGAAAGGCGAGCACGAAGAGTCTGTCCCTCTCTCTGCTCTGCCATTTCGCAATGTGATATTCTGCCATCACTGTTGCCACCACTAAGGCCTTCACCAAATGTGTTCCCTGGACTTTGGACTTCTCAGCCACTGAAATTTATTCGTTTTCTTTATAAATCACCCAGTTTCGTGTATTTTGTTATAAGCCACAGAAACAGACTAATACACCACGTTATAGCTTTTATTTGTGAGGGTTAAATGAGGCAACGTGTGTAAAGCCTATGTCTAAACCTATGCCTGAAAAGCACAGAGAAAAATTCTCAATAATTGTAATAATTAGTATTAACTTCATTATTTTAGAGGAAGATTTGATGCCAAGATTTGTGTAGGGAGGAGACATAGGAATAAGGAAGTGTCTTCTGGAGGGATCATTAAAATGTCCTTACTAGGCCGGCCCGTGGCTCACTCGGTAGAGTGCGGTGCTGATAACACCAAGGCCACGGGTTCGGATCCTATATAGGGATGGCCGGTTTGCTCACTAGCTGAGCGTGGTGCTGACAACACCAAGCCAAGGGTTGAGATCCCCTTACCGGTCATCTTTTAAAAAAAATAAATAAATAAAATAAAATAAAATGTCCTTACTGCTGCTCCTTTGGGAACATTCTCTGTGGAGTTGCCTTGTAAAAAGCAGTTTTATTACTTTTAAAGTTAAATGAGCCGTGTCCCCTCAGCAAGCCCCACAGTAACAGATGTGGTCTAGAAGCCAAGGCTTGGATGCCATGCTAGTTTACTGAGTGGTCTTTACTTCTCTGCAAAAACATCTACATCTCACAAGCTCTTATTTTCCTCTGCTTTGTTGCTCTTTCCTGCTGCCCCCAGTATCTGCTGCCTCCTCCCACCCCCCTGCCTCTGGCCTGCCCCACTCCTGCAGTCCTCATGGTAGAGAACCAGGCCACCGATGTCGTAGGCTTCAGGCCAGCTTCCTGGAGAGTGTCTGGCAATTCCTTCTTTTCCAGTCCCTATTCTAAATTCCCAGGGAAAGCCTCTGCCCTGCCTGGGCCGATCACCAATCATGGACCCACTGAGTGACTGTGGCCAGGGTTCCACTGTGTGGGCCTCGCCACTGCGAGCCATCATCATCATCACCATGGCTTCAGAGGCAGAGAGGGGTGGCTTCGAGGAAAGAGTGGCCA